TAATGATTCCGTTTGGTTTAGTAGCAAGAGGGGAACCTTTCTAATAATTTTGTAGTATACCAGGGCTTCTTTGAATTAGTAGCCAGCTTTTTTTAATAGATTCCCTATGTTGAAATGTTTTGTAAGATATTACTAGTCCTGTTCATAGTTTTGTGCATGTTTTTTACAAACGTTACAAGGCAACCAAAAGCTTTATGTTGAGATATCAATTTGACAGCAACAAATGAGCTTTGGTAGTAACAAATTGAAGAATCTCTCTGAACCCTCTAATCCGTGTGTTTTTAGTGTTCTTTTTACAGCATTTTAGGCTTTTTGATAGTGTGAGATTTTTTTTTTTGTTTGGGTTTTTGAATTTGTGGGGTAGTGGGTTTTTTGTTCTCTCTGCAAGATACTTACTACGAGGCCTTGAAAATGTGGGGAACTAACACTTAGCACAATGAAAACAGGGAGAAGAGCAGCCAACAGAGGATTCCAGATGTGTCCCCTAACGGAGAGAACATTTGGCTCCCGCCGGAGGGTGAAAGTAGCCGTCTGGATACAGTAGGCTTTACTTGCGTGTTACCCACTGTTTGATACACTGTTCCTCAGACTCTTTTCTAGTGCCACCGTTGGATTTACCTTGAATTTATCTGTGTTCACTTGTTCTCCCTGGGTCAAAATAGCTTCTGCCTCAGCCAAGATACAGTTAACGGCTTTTAGTCATGTTTTGTGATAATTAGTGTCCACAGTTTTGTGGTATTCTTGCCTAAAAAAAGTTTTGAATTTGTCTCTGAATATGATCTGTGTTATTCATGTTCAAGACGTATTTGAAAGCAAGCCATGTGCAGCAGAATATCTGAGGTGGTGCAATATTGGCGGTGTGGGAAAGGCGAGATGAAAGGCAATTTTTGTGTGTGTGATAAGTTAATCAAGAAAGATTAGATATACCATTTATACCTTTTTAAAAAGCTGAAAGTATTGCACAGGCTATTGTGAAAGGTGACCTGGCAGTAGGATGACAATGGGTGAGAAGAGGAAAAGGCAGCAACAGTAAGTGCTGGGGTTTCAGAGCAAAGCCACCGAGAACCTCTGGTGTGGTCTCTTTAGCTGGTGTAAACAGAGATTTCACATCTCTGAAGAACAAGAGCTTCATCTACTGAACGTGAATTCTGCTGTCCCTGGGCTGAAAACAGTGGTGCAAAATCTGAAAGGGAGATTAGCATCAAGTATGTGATGCTGTAAGAGGATTGGATTTGCATATCCAAGGAGCAGTGATTGCTCCTATTATTGATTACTTAGGATTTTCAACTTAATGTTTGCTGTGTTACTCTAATTGCTCCTACAGTGGTATTTAGCTAAAACTGTAAGTAATTGCCTACGGGTTGCAGTGGGCCAAAATAATTTACTACCAGGTATTCTTGGACCTAAAACTTCGAAGTTTTCTGCCCTGTGAAAAATATATTTTGATCCTCTTTTCATATGGAAAAGTTTGTTGACTGACTATCTTGATAATATCAAGATATCATAATACCTTGCTTTCTTCTACAACTATGCAAGCTTTTCTTCAAAGAAATCTAGCAAATTATGAATGTTAGACCTTCAGCCACATTTTCCAGTAGATTTATCCCTATGTGTATGTTGTCTTTTAATCATAGAATGGTTTGGGTTGGAAGGGCCCAGTAAGATACTCCAGTTCCAAACTGGAGTTTGGGACATTTTTGACTGGATGAGATTGCGCAGGGCCCCGTGCAACATGACCTTGAACAGGGGTATGGTGGAATTTGGGTATAATGCAGACTTCTCATCTTTAGAATAATCTCTCTTGTGAAATTTTTGTAAACAGCTGTGTGGAGCTGCATTAGCATTATAAAGGTCTTTTAGATATATGGTGTTTCAATTTCACTGAATTTCTCAGAAATTAGAGAGCATAGTGTGAACAACTACCCTGTCAACTTCTGAACTGGTATATCCTGTGCCTATATGCAGTTGCAGACATGAACTCTGCTTAAAAACGAGTGTAGATGTGTTTCAGTGACGACATTGCAATCTCCAGGTCTGATTTAATTCAACATTGAGCAAATGTATGTGATTAATTCAATAATAACACAGTAACACAGTACTCAGATAACATTGCTGAATGAACTTAACCGCTGGGTAGAGTCAAACACCAGATGGCAGCATTTGATGAGAGCCTGGCATGTGCCTAGCAGATGAGTTCTCTGGTTTTGGCCTAATTTATAAATTACTTTTTTTGAGAGCTACCAACATCTCTTTTCCCTGAAAAGTCATTAAAAACCTGAAAAATTGAGTGTTTACCACTGCAAGTTAAAAGCAGACTACTCTGAAAAAGTTTTTTTTCTATCTTCCACGATCTCAAGAGACACCAAAAATAAATTACAATTAATTGGTGAACTTAAGGTTTAGCCTTGGGAAGGTGCATATCTCCTGTGGATGTGTCTCCTACCACCATGTGTGCCTGTCTTTATTGACAGTTCTTGATAGCTTCCTGAAGAGAACACCTGTGAAGGAATTTACCACTTTGGGACTTGAAGTTTGTGGTAATCTGAATCCCACCTGTGTGGCTTAGATTAATGTCATTCATATTCATCCAGGAGAAATAAATGTTTTCTAAGTGTTTTGTGTCAGTGTTTGTGTTGGTATTTTTCAGTTATTTTTAAAAAAATAGTGTGCTGTATTTGGAAACTTATTTATATTATAATCATTAAGAGGTTTTTTTGTGTTATTAAAGTCCATGTTAGCTTCTGGACAGGAGACTGCCTCTCTATCAGTGATGCCGCTTTTCACCTCTTTGGGATAGAGAAATCAGTAAGGAGCTCCACGTTCAGTACTGAAGGAGATGTATTATTTTCTTTTTGACTTAATGTGTTTTGTGGGATTTTTTAATTTTTTTTTTTAATTTGGTGTTCCGTATAGAGACTGTAGAGGCATAAAACTGATCTACCAATCACTGCTATATAAGAGGCTTTGCGTTATCCCTTTGCACCTCTGGACCTGGTGTGCAGTCTGAATACTCAAAAGAACTGCCTGCAGTCGGGAGAAGGAGTCTTGTTGCTTTGTGAAGGTCACAGGTTGCCTTGCTGGGAACAGCTATACTGAACGTAAAGGGCTGTTAGGGCCTTGCCTAACAGTGCTTCCCGCTGACCTCCAGTTCACCAGATACTCCAGTAAGGAGTGTGGTTTCATACGTAGGTCCTTATGGCTTGTTTAATGTCTACATGTTGTGGTTGCTGAAGCTGTTAAATGATGGTTTGAGTTTAGCTTGCCAGTGGTCACTGCAGTTACATCGATACTGCTTCAAGATCCACTGATATGTGTGTGATATATCATATATATGGTCATATATATGTGATATAAGGTGTCCTTGGTAAGATCACCTTTTGAATTGTCACTCTTTTTGGTAGTTTAGTTTGACAACAGTCTCATTGCACAACACAAAGTCAGTCCAGTAAGTCAACATTCTTCAGATAAATGTCTTTCTGGTATGATGTCACATAGGAATTGAATTGTTTTCTGTAGAATCTCCCCCAGCACAGAATTGTCAGCTCTAGACTATGTCATTTCCTTAGCAATTTTCTTGCTTCTGTCAATTCCTGAAGATTAATCTTGGGTTGTTTACAAATATACAGAATATCGAAGTGGAGGTACTGTTTATTTCCTTAATATTAGTTGGTAGCCATGTGACTGATCACACAGAATAAACTACTCTCACAAATTTGTAAAACAAGAAGAGGGCTAGATTTTTCCTCCAAAAGCACTCAGTCCTATGTTCTCATGTGCTCCTACATCATATGCTCTAAATTCAGTTTTATTTAAGAGTGGTAACTTTTGCATCCTGAAATTAAAGTATTGGTTTCACTTTAGCATGTTCTAAAATAAAGGTTTGTCCAAAATAAGAAAAATGGGAATCTCTATAGAGAGGTTATCCTGAACCAAAAGCTGGTTGTGAACATGTGGCATCTGAACAACCATGTGCTGACAGATGACCTTGAATATAAGAATGTTATAGTCGGTACTTTCTTCATACTGAGTGAAATCAGGATTTGGTTTTCAAACTTTGAACTTCATTACAAAACCTTTACTGCCTTCATCCCAATTACACATGATTTTTGGTCATTTTAAGTGTTTGCGCTGTAGGATTTAAAGAAGAGAGGAATATCTAGCAGTAGAAGGATGTTCTTAACCCAGTAGATTTGGGTGTACTGCTTGTATTACTTTAAGTTTTGTTTTTCTGCTGTAAAGAATGATCAGGAAATTTCACATATGGTATGTTTCAAAAAAGCTGCAACAAAGTTATTTTAATAAGAAAAATGAATGCATGAATTATTTAAAATAGTTGGTGCAACTGTTCCTCTTAACTAATCCCGGCACTTGGAAGGCAATTACACTGAGCTTTGACAACATTGCCAACTCACGGCACAGTGCCTTATGCCAAAAGCTATTGTTGTTTTATTGACCACGTTCACCATTACATATGCATATGAAAAAACAGAGGCATTTTCATCGGGATTACCCTAATAGCATTAAGAGATTATTTTTTAAATTCCTTGGAAGGAAATTCACTTAAATGAGATTACTTATTACTTGACTGGTTTCCTATCATGCTGCTATGTTTAGGTAAGTGGAGTCCATTAGAGTATAAAGTTTTTAAAAAACCTGATTTTATACATTAATGATTTCAAATAAAAGAGAAGTACTCTATTTGTGCACAGCTTCTTTTGAGAAAGTTAAGTCGATGCTCTGGTTAGGAGAGATAACACTTTTTGTCCCTCTTGGTGGCCCCCCTAGTGTCACCATTAGTTGCTAATTACTTGCAAACAAATAAACAATTAACTCCTCGTGCCTCTTGGTGGGAGAGCTTTCATTGACATGCTAAAACTTTCTAATAAAAGATTTTAATTAATGACGTTGCAAATCCAACTCCCTTGTCAACATCGCTATAAGGAGTACTTGTGCAGAAATGCCAGTACAGTGTACAGGCTCTGCTGGCTGAAGGTGAAAGCATGGCAAGTGCATCGCTCTGTGCCGCTAATACATCGGCATCTCAAAATCTTCGGAAAGTGTCTGGTTTTGCTGAAAATAAAACCACACAGTGCTCGTTTTCCATTGAAAGTATTTTGGGATTGGAGCAGAAAAAAGATGGCATTCCAGCTGGGAAACCTCACAGACCATGGATGGATGCATGCACCAATTTGGGTGAGTCAGCAGTCTGTTTTGTAACCTCTCAAGCTTTTACGTCTTTAAAAATGTATGTATTTTCATGTTTCTGTTGAAAGCCAGTAAACTGAAGCTCTTGTTTGCTTGCTTTCTTTTTGTAGTTGTAGGTGATGACAGTAATCCTCATCTGCAGATCCCTGTTGTTTGCTATGAAAATCCGTTCTTTCATGCTAACAGTAATCCAGTGCAAGAGGAAAAAGTTTTGAAATGTGAAAAATATTTTTCAGTCACTGAAAGGCTATCTTTCAAACGAGAATTGAGCTGGTACAGGGGCAGAAGACCAAGAACTGCATTTACTAGAAAACAGGTAGGGATTTTCTTAGTATTGAATAAATTAATAACAATGTACTGTAACAAAACGTTGGTAGAAGCCTGTAACAGCTGACTGATTTAGTAGGATGTACCTCTGCAGAGAGAAAAGTAATCAGAAACTAGTATAGATTAACAGTAATGTTGCTAATTTCAGAGATGTCTTTATGCATGGAATCAGAATTGTGCAAACACTGCTCGGAAATCTCCTGAAACTGACCTGTTTGTTCTATTTATTTTCTTTATTACTCCTATGAAGGTAGTGAGAACTATTCAACAAGTGTGTTTTAATCCCCTCAGATTGAAGTATTGGAAAATGTTTTTAAAATGAACTCCTACCCTGGCATTGATATTAGAGAAGAGCTAGCTTGCAGATTAGGTTTAGATGAAGACAGGATCCAGGTAATTAAAAATTTATTTGAACTTTTCTGTAATTCCATCTGTATGTACTCTCTGTTCATATAAATGAGTAGTTGACAGCAGTAACAATGATCTGTTTAAAACGATGTACATTTATACACATGATATGCCTTCAACAATTTGTGAAGTGGAAGCCACTGAATTCCTTCTGAAGTTTTAAACCTTCTTCCTTGGTGTCGATGAGGTATTAATCACTATAATATTTCCACGATACCTGCTCTGTTAATCTCTAGTAGTCATGTGCAGAACTTGATCATTTGCTTCCACAAATCATGTTTCTGTTATGCTTGTCACCTTATTTGAAAAAAACAAATTTAAAACTAATATTGAAATAATTTGTGTGAATGTCTAAATATTTGGTGAGACTGTCAGTAGAGCATATATGTGTTAAATGAGTGTTTCAGCCTATGTCTTCATCTGGCCAAAAGAAAAATCTACTCGGGGATTTTAATGATTGATTTCCAGGTAGTCCAATGTGGTAATACACATACCATAAACATCAGAATTTGGGCCTCACCTTCATGTTTATTAAGCTTTTGATAAAATTCTTACGTTGAGGTTGATGGGAAGCTTGATGCTGAGATAAATGAAGCAGCTGAAGAAGCACACTTAGACTTGTGTGTGAAATTCCAGATGCTCAGCATCTTCCAGGGTCTGATTCAGTGTCAGTAAAGTTAATATTAGTTCTACATAACAAACAAACAAACAAACAAAACCCCACAAAAAAACACCAAACAACAAAAGAAAACTGAAACAAAAACCAGTGAAGCTGGTCCTCATTTTCCAGTAAAGCTGAGGGTATTATTTTCTTTGTGGTGTTACAATTATTGCAGGTAGCTACGTGCCATCATCTCCAGATTTTAGATTTGTCTTAAACTTGCAAACTACTGTCATTACACAAAATGCTATGAAGTTGTGTGAATATTTTTAACATTCAAAGCTTATTCTGCTTACTGTGCTGTATTTCTGAAAAGCGTGCCTTTTCTTTCCATTTTAGATCTGGTTTCAGAACCGTCGTGCAAAGCTGAAAAGATCACACCGAGAATCTCAGTTTCTAATGGTGAAAAATACTTTTACCTCCAGCCTGCGAGAGTAGAAAGAATGATTGTTTGCTGTTACAGTGCTACAGTAGAACATGAAGAATTACTGGAATTTTCATAACTTGCATGAAGTATTGATATATTATGTTTTTATCCCCAAATTTCAAATATTATAATAATTTTCATTCAAATAAAATGTAAATAATTGAATTATTATTATAATTTACTTTTTGTGAAAGAAGTTACCTTTTCCTGTATATTTTAATAAGTATTTTCAGAAAAGTTTAGGTATTTTTGTAGTTAAAAAAAAATCCAAACCCTGGGTTGCACAAGATTTTCAGATAATATTAATTACTGCGGCTTAACTGAAGATGGCTTAACAAAGCTTCATGGTTTTAAAAAATAGTCTGTTTAAAGTCCGAAATATGCAAAATAATTTTGCCATCTGAAACAGGTTGTGCATTGCATTGGAGTTTAAGTAACTTATTTATAGAGTATGACAGTTTTCATAACATAAATTTTAGAAAAAGGTATCTCAAGTGGAAGGGCCACTATTCGACTGACTGTTCTGTTTGAACAATTGTTTGGTAAAAAGAGGCTGAAAATTAGAAATTATTTTAAATACCATATTTTAATTAAAGATATTTGCCTATTTAGTGCTTCATCTGGGATATCTCCTCTCTTGTCAACACTTGTATAAGGGTTCCAGTTATGGACATTGCCATTGTTATGGTTTAATGACAGAATGTAGCATCTCACAGGATCCAGACCAGATATCCAGTTTATTGCCATTAATTTTAGGAAGTTGAATTGATTTTTATCAAACAGTACATGATAGTTAATTGTCCTCATATTTGATAGTCAGCCTGAACTCATTATGGATAAACAGATCCTTGCACAGAAAACCCACAATTCTTTGTGGCCGTGATGTGGAAAAACGATGCAAGTATGGGTTTACACCGTTCCTTTCTTCAGCAGAGCTTTAAGCACTTTCCTGAAGTGCTGGTGTCCTTCAATGAAACTTCAGCTTGTGTTACTTAGTCGAGATACATTCTACATGGGCCGAGCTGTACATACAGAAAATCATTTTATGATAGGCTGATGGTTCAGCTGGAGCACTGATTTAAAGTGATCTTTCAATCTGTATATCTTAAAGAACTGGTAAATCCCAAAGAATTTACACATAAGGCTTTATTAATTGGGTTTTCCCACTTGGCTGATGTAAAAAATAAGTTTTATTTTGAACTGAAACTCTTTACAGTAGTCAAAAAACTGAACCAAATTATTTTGACTGATTTTTTAAAAAGTAACATAGGGAAGAATTCTGAAAACTAGGGAGAAGAAACTGTGAGTGCTTACAACACTGAAATTGTTTTTACCTAATTCAGAGTATAGCTCTCAGACTATCCCACACTGAAGGAATGCCCGACCACTGAGCTGTTATGCGTTATGGTGCTGGTTTCCAGGTTTCTTGTGGAAACAGTTTTCCTTTATACAAAACTTTGATATTCTCAGGAGGAAAAATGTGAGCCAAAGTCTTCAATCTACATGGCTTAGCCACCAGGCTTATTCACAGTCCAACACTCAGCTTCGGTGAAGTCAGGACACTGAAGTCAGAGTAGCGTTGTTAATACCGGCTAAATGTAAATAGCAAAAAAGGGTGAAAAAGAATTCCATAGATTCTTGTAGTGTTTTAATAGTACAAATAAAGTTATCTTTCTTTACTTGCAACTTCTTGTTTAATAATAATAAAATGACAACAGATTTTTTTTTTTCCTGGCATGTTACTTTCATTGTAGTGTGCTCTGTAGAAGAAGTAGGTGCTAATATTTTAAAGACCTGTCTTTGCTGCTTCCAGACAGTTTTTGATTCCTATATTTCTTCTAACATGCTCTACTTTTCACCAGTTTGTCTTATTTCTTAGGACATCTCTAAATGTTTCAGTTGTTATGATGGATTTTTTAATTTAGCTTTGCTGAATGTTTACAAGGTATTGTGAAATGCAGTTAGTTTAGGATTTTGAGACATCATCATACCTGTTACATCATGAACAAACCAAGTATAGCTCTTCCTTTCTCAATGCTTGTATCCATGATATCTGCTGTCCCATAGAATAAAAGGTAAATTTCAGAAAAGGGGTGATAGAAAAAACTTAGTTTCATGTAGCCTCGTATTAGGAAAAGCTAAAAGGAAAGATGATCTGGCTTCAGTCCTTAGTTGATATTTTAGATGATAGGTTAAGATAAGAGTTTAAATTTTAAAAAAATTCTATATATTTTCTGAAAAAATATTACTGAAAGGCTGCATTACTTCAGAACCAGACTACAGGTATTCACTCTTTTGTGTCTCTAGCATCATGGGCTCATTGCCTTAATTTTTACAGAATCTCTAAAGTCTTGAATTGTTTGACTTTGCTCCTGGAAATCCTATTTTAAACGTGAAATTAAATTTTATCCAGTAGTGAAATGTTAATTATTCATGCTTTAGATTTAGGAAATAACATTAATGAACTGAACTTCTGTTGTATCCCGCATTCAAAAAGACTTAAGAGAACGTTCACAAATAAAGCAATTTAAATGGAATCAAATCCATTAGGAATAGTTTTTGGAGAAATTCGAATCTCAATTCTGGTAAAGGTAAAGACAATATTGGAAATGCATGAGTTCTATTTTGTTTTTCTTCTCAACTCAAAACATAGTTTAACCTTGTTGTAGGTAATTTGAAACTATTGTCTACTTTACTGATGGAAACAAGGTTTCCAGCAGCAACAGATTAGACTAATCTGTACAGATTGATGCCTAAGAACCTTACTCTATTATCTGGCAAATACCTAAATACACCTAATGTCTCTTATAATGGAACTCATCTCAAGTGACGGAAGTCTGACAAAGCAATTTAAGAAAAGGAGTAGAATAATAGCAGAATAATAATAGCACCAACTCTGGTATCCAGCTCTCAATTAGCAAATGTTACCAGATGGAAGATTGGTGTAAGGTACTAAGAGTGTTGCACACAGTGCTGAGGGGCAAAGACTTTAATAGCATGGTTGCATTATTTGCTTCATTTTGGCTTAGCTTGTTCTTCCTGAAGTTAATGCATCAACAAGTTAAAGGAGAACCTGTAACTTTACATTTATAACTACTTTGACCTGCATGGATTTAAATTATGGCACTTTCTCAAATACAGCTGTGGGGATTTTTTTCCTATCTTAAAAAAAAAAATAAATCGGCCTGGACTTCACAGAATTTTCTAATCTTGTAGTTCCTGATAATATGCAGCTTTTTGAGCTTGGCAGTACAGGTAATATGCTATATTGTCTGTCTAGGCACAGCCAGTCCCAGTAGCAAGAGTGGATGAGACTGTGTCAGAAGAAGCTGGCGTGTATGCTGAAAACTGCTCCCGTTCCAGATTTGCATACTTGGCCTTGCAGTGTTTCAGTTTATCTGTCTACCCTTCAGAACTGTGATCAGAAGAGTCTCAGTCCTCTTGGTCCCTATTCTGACCTAAGCTTTGTGAAGCCACAGCCTCCTTTACTTCCAGTCATGCTGCTTTGCTTGGGCTCCAGTGATCGTTTGACTCTGCTGATAAATTTACTAGGATGGTGAAAAACTGTTCTACCTAAACCCCTGGCTAGTTGTCAGAATTTTCACTCTTAATATTGGCAAGCTGTTAAGTCTGCATCCAGCAACAGCTGCAATTTAGGCCGAGGTCTGGTTGGTAATGGGTTTCTGTGGTGGACTGTTAATAGCACTTAAACATTCTCATAGTGCTCTCCTGAACTAGCGCTAGTGCCTGTGGCCCTAGTTGGGATGCTGGCCTGCATAATTATTGTTTTAAATTGACGCTCTTTTTTTAGTGTCTCTGTCTTAATTTTTTGTGCTTAACAAGCTTCAGCAATGCCAGGGCTGTCCAAAAAAGATGAACTATGCTTATGGTCTAAAAGTAGATTGAAATTATTTTTTACCAGTGAACCAATGCTTCCAGTGCTCCATTGTAATATTATTACTTTCAGCATACTTAACAGCGTAGTTTGACACTTAGTCTTTAAATTTCCTCTGTTAGCAATAACAGCCCAGACTTAGAATACCATTCATTAAATTGTCATTTAAAACTCTGAATTTGTAATTATTTAGTTTATGAAGTCTGTGCTACAGTTACCAGACTGTATGTTATAATTTTCCTGGTGTGCGTGGGTACATCTACATTTTTCTAGTTGCTCAAAGTTGTGTCTTGAAAATACTTCTAAAGCAACAAAACCCAGGGCTTTTTATAGTTGTAAGAAGATTAATGCAGTGTTTGTAAAATTATTAAAAGGAAATGTGGCTTCAAAAGTCATTCAGCATTTATGTGGCTGAAAAAAACTTGCACAAAAGTAGCATAAAAATAATTTGCAAACACCTTCTGTTTACCTAACATGAAATTAAGCAGATTTTAAATAGTTGAGATTAACTCCCAGAGTTAACTTGTAATCACAAAATCAAAGCTTTTTAGGTATTGATTGTAAAATAACTTGTTTTGGTTACTTGGATCAACTTAGTTTCACTATCGCTTGTTAGTTGATGCTCTTTATCCCTTCATCTTAAAGGACTTAATATTACATAATTGGATGGGAAATACATGGTATTCTTGAATACGTTTGAGCAATGGTGGTTAATCTAAATTAGTATTTCATGTCTTGCTGTTCATGTAATGGATTAATCTTGACTCAAAATCCTATCCTGTCACTTTTATTAGAACTGTTCAGAATATCTCATACTTATTTGATAATGGAACAGGAAAAGACAAAGCATTAATGATCCTTGTGGGGGGGGGTTGAGGCTGTTGAGCATGGGAGGGGCAGGGGGATCCCATCTAATTGCATTGCGAAGGAAGTTCATGTCACAGTGGACAAGCAGGATTGTTTGTGAGGGAGAGGAATCCAGGGCTGATGAAGAGCTGTCAGTTTTGGATTCCTTTTTTGGGAAATACATCTGGCTTGGGATGTTGTTAGGGTCTGTAAATATGATCCCATACCTGGACTGGGAGGGATATATATATTCCTTCCTTTCGGATTTAC